GAAGGAAGGAAGGAAGGAAGGAAGGAAGGAATGAAGGAAGGAAGGAAGGAAGGAAGGGGAGGAAAGCTGGAGGATGGGTGGGTATGAAAGAGCATCAATTAGAAGTACCCAGGCTGACATGCTGAATACCTGCATCTAATGGCATCCAAGGATTGGTCCAAGAGGACCTTAAAGTACATTCTTCCTTATAAGCATGCTCAACTTGGCATTTGACTGTTCAACTAAGCACCAGTACTGTGTTTGGTATGGGGATAGAGAGGTGATTAAAGTTACACTTTAATTAGGGGCAACAACAAATAAATAAAATAAATAAATAAATAAAATAGACAAATATAGGAAGGTTTTTATCTTTATTTATCTACAGAAGATCATAAGTGCCATGAAGAAGATCAGCACAGAGAAGGTGTGATGACCTCTGAGTTTAAAACAACCAGAAGGAATCGATCTAGGGCAGAATCTTGCTGGGAGGAGGCGTAAATGCCAATTCCCTGAAAACTATACATGAAGTGTTAGGAGAACAATTTTCTTTCGTTCAAGAACCTTACAACCCACCCCAGCATTTAGGGCCAAGCCTAGCATTGTGTAGGTACTGAGCAAATCTTCTCATTGTCTTGGGCTATATAGTCCAGGGATAAAATAGGCTAACTGACCCCCAAAAAGGATCCGTACACTATCTTTATGCCTGATGGGGTTTCCTGGGTGTGCTGGGAAGGTGTCTCAAGTGTAACCAAGAATAGAAAGGTCGCCTATCCCTTGCATGCAAGCAACATCACTAACTTGATCCACTTATGATCAAATCCAAATGTCACAGAGAAGGTTTCAATAGCTGGAACCCAATCAGGATCACCAAGGAACCTCTGCAATTTCATATTTTCTGTCTCCACCCTGGAACCTTGTTTAAAAAATCCAGGGTAGGGCCTGGGTTTCTTGATCTTTAGAAGAAAGAAAATGCCAGAAGATGGTTCTGACGTCCAGGCACTGTGGAAATAAGTTTCCTGAGAAACAAGATTGAGTCATTTCAACCAGTTCATGCCTTTACACATCCCAAAGTTTGAGTCTTGGATCCTAGGATGCTAAGTTCCCTGGGGACTCCAACTTAGCATTATTCCCAGCCACCAACTCTTGGAAGAAATTTCCAGAAGTGCCAGACTCTGTTGTTTAGACAGCATTTTGCAATTCAAGTTATGCCTAGACCCTCTCTCACACTGACTCTCTCCAAATCCCACTGGAAGCATTATTACTCTCTATTGTTTCTTACATATTTTTATTTTTAAATGTAACTTGATGTTTTTAAACGTTATTAATAGCCTTGTAAACCAAAAATAAAATAAAAAGATTGCTATCATAAATGGAGAATAGTCTCATTCTCTAAAATAGCCAGTAACCTCAAAGCGAATTCGATGAATAATAAACCAGGTTTGAAAGATCTACCTGCGTACTCTTGCCCCTCCCAAGTTCCTAAGCCTGAAGCATGCATTTGCTTGGTTGAAAAATAGAAATTAAAAAGTGTTAAGCCTTAAAGACATACCCACTCCAACTTGGGATTTTTCCCAGAATGAAAGAAAATTAAGGGGTAATAATCATTGCACGGTGTGATCTAAGGTGTCTCAGACACCCTGAACACTGTTTGTGGATTCTTATGTATACCCCTCTAGGGTAGCCAACATCTTTTTTGTTGATACCTAAACTAGTCTACAATGATAGCCGTAACAAACAAACAAACAAACAAACACAAAAACATATTAATGAAAGAACACTCTGGAAACTAGGGCTTAAGAAATTGTTGGCAGTCAGCTAAAGCAGAGAAATTCACTCTCTTCCTACCCTAAGTGTTCCCTAACAACTAACCAGCTATTGAGAAAGAGGAGATAAGATAATGGAAGGAAAACTTAGAGAAGAATCCTGGAGAGAGACTGGGGAAGATTCTGTGGCCGAGGCCCAGCTCCTCCTACCTGTTTCCTTTCTTGCTCTTCTTTCCATTCTTAGACCATCCTGAATGCCCTCTTCCTAGTTCTCAATTTTTGGGGGGACTGCATTTTCACAGAAGTTTTCTGGGGGAAAGGACCTTATCTTATGCATTCCAGCATCTTCAGTGCTTGGGGCCAAACCCAGCGGGCGATCAAACACAGGGGCTTGTTTGTTACAGACTTCATGGTCAAGGCAATGCAAGGACCAAATCACCTTCAGCAGAGCATGGTGACTTCGACTTCTGGCAGCCATAACTCAACTCCTCTTTCTTCCAGACCTTAAGCCTGTGGTTCCTAACACCTCCATGGGACTTCCTTACAGGGCCTTGAGATTTCCTGCCTAGGCTGTGGCTCAGAGCACACAGCTCACTAACACTACAGCAATGATATAAATTGGGGAACATCAATGCTACTTTATTGAATTTGTCTATGCAGCGGGGCTTTCTCTAAGGACCAACCAGGCTGGGTGCAGTGGGGTTGGTCATGGGGGGTGGCCGATGGAGCCATTTATGGGAGGTAGTTAACAACTGGCACATCTCTAAGAAGCAAACGCTTGCCTCCTGCGGGCAGATGTTAAAAATGATTCAACAGCGCTTTGCAAACAGTGACAATAACATGTTATGACTGATGACTGGGAGGGGAGAAAGTCAAGCTTCCTTAGAGCCCGGAAGAAGTGGTAAGGGAAATGTTTGCGGGACCAGTCACACTTGGCGATTCTCCAGAGGTGGCAGGGAGGTGGGATGTAGGTGGGTGGCCTTCTAGAACATACTGATCAAGTCTCATGTGTGGTGAGTACCTGGTGGGAGGGGCTAGTAACTAGATCACCCTCATCATCTCCAACATTTTTTTAATACCTAGTCCTGAGTGGGCTTTTCCGGATTCCCTGAGAACAAAAGCATTTTTAACAGATATTCTCAACCCCCAATGGGAGCTAGGTTGCCTGTTCAGAGCACAGGTCCCAAAGCCCTCATCCAGAAGTTTCTAATATGGAATATCTCTGGCTCAAGTGGGACTGCTGTGGGACATTGAAGAAAATGTGGATGGTCAAAACCAGGGTGAACGAATGGAAGGACCGAGGCCAAAGAAGATGCTCAAGAGTTCAAAGGACCCAGAACATTCCTCCCAACAAGGAATTATGGTCCAAATGGGAAAGAACCAGTTATGCATGCATGGGGTGTCAGCATAGGAAGTGGGTGTCCCCATTAGTCAAGACCCAGCAACGCCTCCTCTTCCATGAGCATCAAGCCCCCTTCTTGATGCCCACCTCTCTGTTTGGCACCTACCTCCAGGCCCAGGGCCCCCATCGCCCTGTTCCAGCAGGCCTCACTGCCCGCTTTCATTGTTTCTCCCTTGGGATCTAGGGTTCCTTGAGGGCAGGATCCGGTTCAGACCTGTCTCCAGCACCTCAGCCTGCCCACAGTGGCTCAATAATCACACCTTGGCTTAAATCTGTCTCAGCTCAAATGACATCTATCTGGAGTGTTGGCCCAGCCCCCAGTATCCCATCGGAACCCATTTTAATAGCCGCATGGAGTGTACCCCTCTGAACTGCGTCTGTGTATCGGTTTGCTTACTTTTCACGCATCCCAACATTTTTTTTTGGAAAGTACTTTTGTCAGGACCTCTGTCATCTCTGGACACTTAATAATCAAGAAGGGACAAAAAATTCCTGCTCCTCAGAGTTTGTGTACTGTGCGGGGAAGCCTGGAGGATAAGAAACACAATAGAAAGCCTAACGTGTCTAACGTGTCTAACGTGTGCAGTATTGATAAGCCCAGCGCAGAGATGGGAGGAGTGCGTGTGTGTATGATACTTTTATTCATCAGGCTGAATGTCTAGGACCCACTTTTCTGCTCCCCTTTAGCCCACACTCTCTGTGGTTGCTCTGCTTATAAAACAGGCACAGAGTAGGTGCTCAAGAAATAGCATCTAGCCCAATGGAACAGGAGAATCTGCCCTCCAACTATCAAGAGGGCTGAGAAGAGATGCTGATGTTTACGACCATCCCCTGGTCAGGGAGGACACCCAAAGTAAGAGTGCTGGGGTCAGCTGAAGGGATTTGAAGGATGGAGGTTCGCACCCTAGAGCTCACCCACTCCCACCCCACCCCACCCTACCTGATGATTCCTGCGTGTCCCACCCCCAGCCTCAACCGCCCAGACCCCTCCCCACTGGGGCACCCTCTCTCCCTTCCCAACTGCAGAGTTTAGTCTTCTAGACTTCTGCCTCCCTTTCCTCCCCGATCCCTCCCTTGCCAGCCCTTTCCAAAGGGGGTCCCGGGATGTCTAGGCGCGCGGTGGGGAGGGAGGAGGGGGGGTGCAGGGGCGTCACGCGGGGTCCCCGCCCCCAGCCCCCGTCGGGCGGGCGGGACACTGTCCCTTTAATAGACTCCCTCTGCCTGGCGCGCTGCGGCTGGGGAGTAAATTTCTCGCTGTCATCAGGTCGCGGGGAGAGGAGGAGGAGGAGGAGGAGTTTGTTAATGTTCAGTTTGTTCAGCGGGATCGATGTTTGCTGGTATCGCCTCGCCCTGTCTTGTGTGTGTGTGTGTGTGTGTGTGTGTGTGAGTGCGTGTGTGTGTGTGAGTGCGTGTGCGTGCGTTGTGTGTGTGTGTGCGCGCGCGCGCGCGTGTGGGTGCGCGTGTGCGTGTGCGCGCGTGTGCGCGCGTGTGTGCGCGTGTGTGTGCGTGTGCGCGTGTGCGCGCGTGTGTGTGTGTGTGTGCGTGTGTGTGTGCGTGTGTGTGTGTGTGTGTGTGTGTGTGTGTGTGTGAGTGGATGCCAGATTTTCTGTCTTTCCCAAACCCGCTCCTGTCCTCTCGCATATCACTCACAGCGCGGGCTCTGACAGCAGCACAAACCTCCGGTGACTGATCTCACTCCCCAGCCCGGATCCGCCATCGAGGAGGAGGAGGAGGAGGAGGACGAGGAGGAGGAGGAGGAGGAGGAGGAGGAGGAGGAGGAGGAGGAGGAGGAGGAGGAGGTGGAGGAGGAGGAGGAGGAGGAGGAGGAGGAGGAGGAGGAGGAGGAGGAGGAGGAGGAGGAGGAGGAGGAGGAGGAGGAGGAGGAGGGAAAGAAGAGAAGCAAGAAGAAGAAAAAGAAGAAACCACTACCTTCCCAGGATCGCCTTTTTTTGCCCCCTTATCTTGACGCGCGCGTGTGCGCCCCTCGCCCCTGCCCACCGAACCTGGTCTTGGATGTTTAATAAAGAAATCAAGTGTCTCCACAGTCACAAAAAAAAAAAAGAAAAAAAAAATCCAACCCCCCACCAAAAAAAAAAATTTTTTTTTTTGCCTCCAAAAAGCCAAAACAGAAAGAGAGAAAGAGAGAGAGAGAGAGAAAGAGAAAATCCCCCCCAAACAAACAAACAAACCAGGCAGAACCAACCTCTACTTCCACCCAGCCAGCCGGCACCAGCCACCCGTGTCCGCCGCCCGGAGAGGGGGGTCTCGGGCGGCCCGCGGCGGAGGAGTTGCCAGGGGGGCTCGCCGGGGGCGCGGAGGCCGAGCGACGCCCTCGGAGCCGGCGGGCGAGCGACACAGCGGCCCCCGCGCGCGCGGCTCGGCTCGGGGCTGGGCGCCGGCGGTGGCACCGGAGCGGCGCAGAGCGATGCCAAGGAGGAAACAGCACGCACCCAAGCGGGCGGCAGGTAAGGGAACCCTCCGGAACCCCGGGCGCCGGGCCGGGCCGGGCCCGAGCCGCCGCGCGCCCCGGGGCGCCCCGGGCCGGCGCCCCCGGCCCCCCACGGGCTCGCGGGGGTGGGGGACTGGGCTCGGGGCGCCCCTCGGGGTCGCGGCTCGGCACCCGCCACCCGCCGCCCCTCGCCGCCGATCCTCCCCTCTGCGAGGCTCCCGGCAGGGGTGGGGGTGGGGGGCAGTGAGCCCACCGAGCCTTCCCTCCTTAAACTTTTTTCCCTCCACCCGCTACCCCACCCCGAACTTTCTCCCAGTCAGTTTCTCTGCCTCGCTCGGGCCGAAGTTGGGTGGAGGATTCGGGGTGCGGGGTAGGGAGTCAAGCCCGGCCGCGGTCCCCCTGGGCCGCCACCCACCACCACCACCACCCCCCCCCATCATCCCTCGGCGTGGTCATCTGGCCTCCCGCGCGCGCGACACTGCCCCCCCCACCTCCCCCCCGCCGAGCTGGGGTTCTCGAGGGTGGGTGGGTGGGTGGGTGGCGGGGGGACCCCGAAGTGAAAGGAACCCGCAGGCCGGGCTGGGGCTTCTTCTTTCGGGGCTGGCGTGTGTGGGGGGCCCCGCGGGGCGAGCTGGCTTTGATCGCCAAGGTGGAAAAACACCACCCCAGGAAAAGGACTCAACCTTGGAATCTGTTTTCTGAAAGAATGCACGCTCTGCAATCTCTCTCTCTCTCTCGGAAATCGAATCAACACCGCTGCTCCCTTCTTTTTCAAAATTAAAAAATAAGAAAAAAAAGGGTGTGTGGGGGGATACCCCGAAGAGCAGGAATGCTTGAGTCAGCTCTGCCTTTTTCTTTGCCCAGAAAGAGTTGGAAACTTTGTCCATTGATTGGTATGGTAGGAACTATCCCATCGGAATACTGACCACCCAGCCCCCCCAAAAAGAGAGGAACAGGTTAATAGATCAGTACAATAAGGTCTTCTAAAGGGATTTTTTTCCCCCTTTTGGGTTGCTTAATTGCTTTTTTAATAGTATGCTGGGGTTTTGTTTCTCGGAAGTGTAATATGAAAGTTCATTTTTCTCCTGCCAGACCCGAAAAATCAGCTTTCCACTTGATTGCTAGTTTTGATTTGACATTTGATTGATCACCTGTCATCTCGCTGCCTTTGATCTATTCATTCTTGATATATATCAATAAATCACTCACCATGGTAACTCAGAGTGCCAGTGACGCAAGGCTTGCCCTCTAGATTCAGAGCCAGACACGCACAATTATTATCTTGTTTGGCTTTTAATGTGGGCGTTTTTATTTCTTTGTGTCCTTTAGTTGAATCAGGGCTTTATGGAGAAGCTGAAGTTTTTTTTTCTCCCCCTCTCTCTCTGTCTTTACCCTCGGGCTGGCGGTAGCATCCCTGGAGCCCATCCTCCTGCAAACCCAGGAGATAGCATTCGTCTCTGCACGGCACAAGGCAGAAGTTGCCCAGAACACTTTCAGAAACTTTGCAAAGCCCCCCTTGGAACAAAGGCAAAGTTAGTGACACATCTTGGCGAAGCGGGGGAGTTTGAGTCTGGACAGGCTGGGCCCCCGAGCTCATCTTCCTCTGTGGCCTGCTTCCAGTCCAAGTGCTCAGAAATAGCCCCTCAACCTCCCTGGCAAGACAGAATCGCTTCCTCCACCGCCACGGCGTATAGGTTGATTCAGATGGTGTGCGGAAATCTCACCGATAAACCTCTGGTTTCTGTCTTTCCCAACGGTTTCCCCAAGAGCAAAATAATTCGAATATTTTAGGTGCCTGGTCAGGGAGGTGTGTTCCTTCTGGTCCACTCAGGGTACCTCTCATGAAAGCAATTTCTCTCTTCCACCCCTGACCCCTTTCCTCCACTGAGCTTACTTATTTTGTCAAACTTGGATTGCTTTGCCATCTGACAGCATTGGGCTGTGCGCTGGTCTCCAGGACTCAGGAGGTGTAAGCCTGCTCTGGCTGGTTCTGACAACATAAGTTTAAGTGTAGCTAGATTATTAGAGATAACATCCTTATTGTTGTCCCAAAAGAAAACCCTGGGCAAGAGGCCAGCAAGAAGTGATACTGCCTTGAAAATCACTCTCCACCCCCCCCACCCCCACCCCTTGTTGTTCCGGTAAAGGCCATCACAACTCAACTAGGCAGTAATTTAAATTACCAGAATGACTGGACATGTCTCCTTTAGTAAATTCATTACCAAAAGTGCATTGCTCAGAATCGCACTCCTTTGATTAATAATTATCCCCTGGTCAATGAGGATCCAGGTGTAGGGAACAGAATGGTGGATCACATTATTTAGATGAGATCCTTTTCATTAAGCGGCTATCTATGGGTGCCGGTGTATTTATTTGCCGCCGTGCTTGTGTGTATGGATTGTAGAAAGTTGTGATTGGAGTTGCAGTCTCTGGCCTGTTGTCTTACCCAGTGCCTTGATGTTTGCTCTCATGGCTTTTATTATTTTCACCAGGAGATGTGAAGATGTTTGTCAAAATGAAAGGAAATAAATAATCGATGTCGGGCATGAGGGAGGCCGTTAGCAGGGTCCCTTTACTGACTCACAGATTGCGGAAGCAGAGATTTTTTTTTTTAAGCAATGCTTTCTGCATCTCAAATTGTTGTCCATGCTGTATTCAGTTTGAGCCGAGGTAGTTGTTCACCCGTAAAGTTAGTCACTGGGTCCTTGAAGCCGTTCTTCACATCCGAGGAAGGGAAGAAGGTGAATTCGAGAGCTGTGACCGTACTAACTTTTATCACTGCTTAAAATTAAACACAATGCACAACTGTAAGTAATTACTCCCATGGACTCATGTTGAAAGCTCAGTTTCTAGCTTGATTAATGAATAATGTACGATAGAAAAAGCCTCCGAGTGAATCGGAGCTCTCCAGTCTCCCAAGAACTGTTGGAGGCAATTTGATTCCTTCGCATTATTAGTTTTAAGTTCTATGTTTCAAGGAATCAATTACAGAACTTTCTAATAAAGCAGGTATCCAGATGGAATGAAGGAGATGATATTCTAAGTGATGGGGAATTTGAGTCTTTATTTGCTGGATTGCCCCCCCCTTCCTCGGAGTCGGGGTGTGAGGTAAGCAGTTCTCTTTAAAGAAACAGCCAAGTCAGAACATTTCCCTCTGAAATGTCATTCTTCCTGACTTTCTAAAGCTCTGCTGTTTCACCAGACTCTCACTTCAGGCAAGGAAAAAAAAAATTTTAAAAAAAGTTGAGAGAGCAGCCTCCAGGCCCCCAGGGGGGTTCGCCTTGGCTGCCTGTATGCCGGCACCCTTGGGTGCGTGTTTCATACTCCCAAAAACGCACTGACTTTTACCTGTGACTCTGGCAGGATTTTGTACCAGCTTCTTTCCATCCTATTCGTTTTGGAGCAGATGACAGAAAGGTAAAATAAAACAGAGCAGTATTTTGATGTGTTGATATTTTCCAGGACAGGGAGTAGTTAAAAATGTAAGATTGTAGAGTTGTACTCCTTCTATTTTCGGCGATCTATCACAGTCTCGGTACTCACACGGGTGATACGTATTTTAGTTCACCGGGCTGAACTATTGTCATAGGATAATGTCAACCAACTGTACTAGAATGCAAAATCTCTGGGAATCGTATACATGCGAATGCATTTGTAAGTTACAGGAGCCAGGCTGGCTCCAGCCCACCCAGGGAAAGGAATGATTCTCTCAGCCCTGGCTTTCTGAGAGCCCCGATCTGGCCTGGCAGGAAAGAACAGCTCCCCCCGCCCCCAATTTATTTTGTTTATTTAATATGGAGATGAATAATGCAGATTTTGTTTTCATGGATGTCCTTGTGTGGCAGTAAACATTAGACTATTAGCAATCATTACTTAAAAGTTGCAATTTGCACCTTAATAGCACAGGTTATTTACATGGGAAACATATTCAGCTGGGACAATTCTTACTACCTCCGTGAGTGGAGATGACCTCAGAACCTTCTTTTCCGTCTCCTGATAGTGATGTGGAGGTGAATGGGGTGGGGGGGGGGGAGGGAATCACAGCAGGTGGGGGTGCTGGCCACTCTGAGAGGGGGGTGAAACTTACTTTGGACTGGGAAGTGGGGCTCCCTTTGGGACCAAGTGGCAGGACTGGAGTTCAAGGCCCTGACGCTCTCACTTTGTTCAGACAGACTTCACAAGGCCAAGTTTGCCTCTTGAACATTGAAGCGCCGGCTTCCAGCGGTGTCTTCTCTTGAACCCACTCAGTCTGATTTTAACAGCTGAATGGGACAAACACACACATGCACTCACAAGATCCCTCCCCCAGGGGTCAACCCGAACTGTTCGAGTTATTTGAGGCAGATTCCTGAGAAAGGAAGGGCAGGTACCTTGAAATCACATCTTCCCCGAGGTGTTTGGGAGGGAAATTGATTACCAAAGTGGTCCTAATCTGGCTGCCCTATCTCTCTCCCTCCTCCTACCCCTCACCTCAGCCCTAACGCGCCACACTGAATGGGACATCTCAAAAGCCCATCTGTTTTCGGCATTTATTGATTTCACTTTTTAATCTGCCATATCAGGACACAATACATTAACCCTAATCAGCAGATGGCGAATGACAGTCTATGCAAGCAAGCAGAGCCAGGGCTGGGGGCTTCAAGAAACTTCCAGACTCGGAAAGTCTTCTTGAGACTTGGGGTTGGATATTGGGGCCTGCTTTTTTTGTGGGGGGTAGCCTGGAAAAGCATTCCTCACAATTAGTTTGTGTTTCTTTTTCACTCCCTGGTATATTCTTTCTTTTCCCTCACCTTAATTCTACTGATAGGTATGGGTAGAATTGGCCCTGCAGACCCCAGGAATACCCCCTAAGCGTCCGTAGCACGTGGGTCCCTGAGGCCTCTTGCTCTTTATCACTGATCTCCAACGGAGGTGGATGCTGTCGTTTATCCCAGCTCCTTCCTCTGGCATTGGACAGAATTTCTCCAATTGGATGATACCTGGGTTCATCTGTTTATGTTCCCTGTGGCTAGGGAA